TTGATCAAGAATGATTAGGGTGCAAAATTCTTGGCCTGCAACGTCTGGTCTATAACTTCTGTCCTTAAAGTGGGGGTTAGGTGGAAGGAGCACCAGTCCTCTCTGAATAGAGCTTCTGCAATGTGGCACTTGTGGGGGAGGATGGAAAACGTTAGCAGTCCACTCCTTCCCAGATGATTCCATAAGATGGACCTGGCAGAGAAGTGTCATGTCTCAAATGTCACAGACAATCACTATTCTTATTGAGATTTAGTAAATATACTTGAGTGAATATATCTCCAATTATTGTATGACCCTAGGACAATTTCCAGAAGCTTTAAATGATTTTTTAAAACTATAATTTTCTTTAATTAAATGGTTACTTAACTGGGGAGAAAGTCTGCAGGTCTCCCCCTTCCATCATGCCAGAAGTTGGTCTTCTGTCCTATCTTTTAAACGTCATCTATGAGCTCATGATGCCCATGTGCCTGTCTCTAGCCTAGCCTTTCACCTGGACACCAGACTTCCATATCTAGAAGACTACTTGTCATCAAGTAGTTTTGGTTTTTCTTCCTCAAAAATGTTTTCTTCAGGCCCTCTTTATCTCAGTAACTGAAACCACCATCTACCCGGTTAACCAACTCAGAAACCTGAGCATCAGCCTCAATGCCTCCCTCTTGTCAACCACATGTAATCCATCAGAAAGTGTCATTGGGTCTCTCAAACAGGTCTAGAAACTGCTCCATTTCTCTCCAGTTCCATGACTACTGACTCTGAATCATTCCCCTTCACTTGATCTATTAAAATAGACTTCTAATGGGCTCTCTGCTTTCACTCTCACTGCCCCTCCAATCTGTGCCTCACACAACCCCAAGTGATCACTGTATGTGTATTTCCCCTGCACGTATGCTTTAACCCTGGCTTCAGCCCTGTAGGAAATGGCTGCTCTTTACCTCTCCTTCCAATCTCATCTGAAGCCCCTCCCTTGACCTCTGTATTATAGTCACATGGTCCTCTTTGCTGGCCTGCTTTTCTTTGCCTGGAACACTGTCCTCCTCCCTTTGCATGGCTGGTATTCCTCCTCTTCTCTTCTTGTTTTAGCTTAAATGTCACCTCCTCTAAGATGCTTTCTAGGTGGCTTCTCCTCTGTTATTCTCTGTTGTTTCAGCCCATTCATTTCCTTTGTAATTCTTGACATGGTTTGTAATTATTAATTTGTTTAAAGATTTATTCTCTGCTGCTCCTACTAGATGGCAAACTCCAGGACAGCAAGAACCTCATAGTTGTTTTGTTAAGAACCCTGAAATAAACACAAATAATAAGAGCTCCCACTTACCAAGCACTAAGTACGTGCCAGAAATGTTCTAAAATACATATGAATATATATGTATATGCATACACTTATTTACACAAATATATACACATATACACATGTATATACATTTATATATACACACATGTGCATATGCATGCAAAAAACCACACTAATTTAATCTTCACAACAGCCCTATGAGGTAGATAATTTTATTATCTTCATTTAACAGCTGATTAAACTAGAGCACTAGGAGGATGGGTGACCCATCCCAACGTCACACAGTGAGTGAGCTGTTAACCCAGGTTGCTCTAGGGTCTATGTTTTTAAGCATTTCAGCTGCTTCTCAGTACAGTAACAGGAACAAAGTAGGTACTCAGTCACTATTTGTAGAATAAATAAACAAGGGGTGAAACAAAATGGAGATGTTATCATCCCTAAGAGCAGTGTTGTCCAGCAGAGCTGTCTGAGATGATGGAAATGTTCTACATCTGTGCTATCCTATACAGCAGTCACTAGACACACATGGCTACTGAGCACTTGGGATGCAGCTAGTATGACTCAGAAAATGAATTATTTTGTTTAATTTTAATTAATTTAAATTGCCACATTGTGGTTACTGACAACTGTAGTAGACAGTGCAATCTAAGATTTTTGAGATGGTATCACTGTTGATGCCTTATGGTTGACAGACAGTCTTGATAAATTGAACTCCAAAGACTGACCACAGAATTCTCCTCTGCATTTTTTTCCCCTAGTGTCCTCTCCCCGCTGTTCTTCAAACATCCTTTATCCTCCCACTTTACTTCATTCCAGCCTGTAGAATCAAGCCTCCTTTCTCACATGTGGCTCCAAAGTGATTTTCCCCACTCTTTCAACAGTGCCCTAAACAGTCCCTCCAGAAGTACTGAAGTAGTCAACAAACATCTAGTGTCTACTTGGGATGAAACACTGGCTCAGGTCCTGGGGAGGAGTGGAGGGAGACACAAAGACAAGTAAGACAAGGTATCTGTCTAACGGTGAAGTGGGGGAGTTAGACTTACACACTAACTCATCGTAAGGGCTCAGTCAAAAGGATGGTGTTGGGGGAGGGCTGGGTGTCCAGGTCTGTAGCCTCAGAATTCAAAACTGGGGGTCTGGAGTGCCCACTTTGCAGAAATTGCTGTAAAATGGCACCAATTTTACTCACACTTGGACTAAAAGAATAAATGAAATCATAGCTTACTTTAAAAACTGAGCTTATGACAGACATGAGACAGTCTTACTGACGTATAGAAAGAGACAACTGGCCTGGCTAGAGGAAGCTTATACTTTACTCCAAAGGCCACATAACTTTTTACAGAAAAAGAATCAAAGAAATAGTAAATAAAAATCAGACTGATTCGAATATTTAAAAAGAGGAAAAAAAATAGTGCACGTTAATCCTCCAATTCAGGGGCAATTACTATTCATATTCTCAACCATATGCAATAATTGGGGTAGTGAAAATGCATTTCTTTCCTCCCACCATTTGCATACTTGGAATCTCACTTACATTGCATGTAGGTTAGAGAAAAAAGATGCTGCTTTGTTTGGATTTTGCTTTTGCTGTGGAATCCATTAGAAAGCAATGTGCTTTGTATGTCAAAGAGCAGAAAGGCCCCCACTTCCTCTTTTCAAAATGTTTTTAGCAGAAGTCAACTACTGTATTTACTCCATGCAGTTCTCCATTTGATTACTCAATGTGTGCTGAGAAAAGCAGTGATTTTTTTTTTTTGTTTTTTAACCACAAAGGACTTTCTAACTTAGGATGAGTCTTATAGCATCATACCTTTGAAAGTGAAATTTTTAGGCAGTTATCTAAACGTCATTCTATAAGAAGCATTTAAACACATAGCAACACTCAGGTGATGTCTAAGTGCTTAAGTGCTTCATTTTTCATACAGATATATTATCAGTGCACAGGTAGAGTGACTGCGTCTTTGATTTCTCCAAACTTCCTCAAGTTTACTCTTTTCAATAAAATTAGCTCCTTATGTGCAAAAATCAAATGAGATTTCACTTTGATGCCTAAGACTTTCCTTTTACATTACATCACAGATTAGAAAGAAAAAGAAAACCCAAACAGCAAAGAACTAGATCAACTGTTCCAGTCTACTCTAGACTGAAGAAAATAGCTCCTAAGACATAAACTCCCTGCTTGTGTGTTACTGCCACACTTTCCCAAAGTGTGTTCCTGAGAACACTAGCTCCATGGGTTGTAACACAAAGAAAGCATTCCATGGTGAATTCCATAAGCCCATTTGCTTGTGTAAAACAGTTGGGTTGTTTTCATAAACATTTTCAGCCTTCAGATGTACCCTCCACATCTCAATCCTCCTGCCGGATAAGAAGTCATAATGCAAGCATGTCTCGGATCAAAATTCTAGCACATGCACATATATTTAACAGCCATTAAGCACAATAAAACAGTAATGCATATACGTTCTTGTAAGCTCAGTTAAGTCCCACATTGTCTTTGGGATCTTGCATAAACCCCTGCAGAAAATGTTCACTTTGCCTAAGACAGAGACCATGACTCTGGTGGCTGGACCATGTCAAGTGATAAAGCCTTCCATGAAGTGGGAATGCAGGACTTTGAATAAAGAGATTAGGCTTTACTGATTTACACACTGTGTTTGTAAAAATGAGGGGCGGGGGGTGCTCTGCAATTATTCTAGCCTACAGCATAATTAGCCATCATCTATTTGAACAATAAAAAAGCATTTCTAATTTTCCTTGTGCAAATTAACAAAATCTATGGTCTTGATTATAATGGTGACATTCAAAATGTCTGAGTACCTACCTTTGCAGTTAGATTCTTGCTAAGGATGCTGCAAACGCTTTCTACATTTACCTACTGGGTAGGCTAATGGTACTTTACACATGCATGTGTCCATAGGCAAAACGCTATCCTGTTTATATTAAATGCTAATTAAATTTAATCACCACATTGATCCTATAACACAGTCTTAGGTAAGTCTGGAAATCCTCTTGGGAATTCCAATAACCATAAACATGCCTAAGGCTCTGACAAGTCCTGCAAAAAGAAAAAGCACCTCGACTAAATCCAAAGGCTTTCATCTTGTTTGGCCTTGGAAACCTCAGGACACATGCATCTGAGGAAAATAATGATTCTGTATTCAGACAGCAACCTACTAATCTAAACAATATTTCCAAAGTCAAGACAACTCCTTACATATGAATAAATGAACATTTCAATTCATAAATTACTCTCTTGTGACTTTAGTGTATGAGAATCTGCCCCTGTCTAACATGGTAAAATGAGTTTTTGAATCAGCAAAATTCAAAGTCACAGCAACCCCTCCTTGAGGGTGCAGTATAGTATCTACTAGAGGTGTGCTATGATAAAAAACAAAGTGTCTACCATTTAATTTACTCTTCTTAATAATATACAATGGAGATATTAGTGTCATCATTTTAAAACAGAGGAAATGGAATATTTTTTAAGAGACAGGGTCTTGGTCTGTCACCCAGACTGGAGAGAAGTGGCATAATCATAGCTCACTGCAGCCTCAAACTCCTGGGTTCAAGTGATCCTCCCACCTTAGCCTCCTGAGTAGCTAAGAACTACAGGTGTGTGCCACCACACCCAGCTAATTTTTAATTATTTTTTGTAGACCTGCGATCTCACTATGTTGCCTAGGCTGCTCTGAAACTCCTGGCCTCAAGTGATTCCCCCTGCCTTGGCCTCCACAGTGCTGGAATTACAGGTATGAGCCATTGTACCCAGCCAGGAAATAAAATTGTTGAAAGACTAAACAAGTCTCTAAAATCATTGCACAATTAAGTAGCAGAATTAGAATTAGAATACAGAGTGGGCCTGTTTGAAAGCATCAACTATTAACCACCATGCCATACATTTCAGGAGCAGACCCCACACTTGTAACCAAGCACTGGAATTTGTCACTCCTGCAAGTCAAGACTTCACCTATGAACTAGCCGCCCTCTGCCACCCCAGCTCCATGGATGTGCAATCTCTACAGTTGCACAGCATCCCACGTTTGGTTTAGTACTTTGTTTTTGCTATCTTTAAATACTTAATAATTTTTAAACAAGAGGTCCCGTGTTTTTATTTTGCACTGGGCTTCACAAATACAGTCAGTGCTATCCATAGTACCTAAGCTATAATTAATACAAAGCTTTAAAATGCATAGAGTTTAGCTGAAATTGCTGCCCAGTCTGAAGGAAAGTCCTAGAAGCTAATTTTGGAAGATGTTGTTCAGCCCTAAGTTATGAAAAAATGTTCTGCCCTTTTACAACTCTAGCAGGAAGAGCTAAGCCCCCAATATTCAGCCTGTGATGTCCCTGGTGAGAGTCTTCAAAACTCCTGAGCAATAATGCAAGAATTTCCCAGCCTCCAACATGTGACCTACTTCTACCTTATTAACTCCAATAAACTGACCAATTAAATGTTTTTGTGATCACAGAACTTGTAACTCCATGGTTAAAGATGCTTCAGATATATCACATTCTTTCACATTGTGGCAGAAACTACTGGTTAAATAACTTAGCCATATGTATCTTCCTTGTCCACTCTGCACAAAAGAGACTGGAAAAAAGCTGGACAAAGCTGGACACTTGCTTCTTTCCCATCCTCCTTTGCAGGTAAGCATCACTGCGTGACTCAGTTCTGCCCAATGAGATGGGAAGGAAGTCTGGGATGGAAAAAGCTTTTATCTTTGTTAATAAAAAGGAGAATGCCTCTATAGGAAAAGATCTTTTTCAATACCACTCTGTTGCCCACTTCCTGCCTTGATGTTATTTGGAGCTACAGTGCCCATCTTGAGATAATGAGGTAAAACACATCACTATGAAAAACCAACAGCTGAATTTAGAGTAGACAGGATGGAAGGGACCTGGTGATATTGTGGAGCGACTGAACAAATGCTGTCGACTGCCTAGTTAACCCATTACTTGTTTAAATCTCTGATAGGCTATATTTTTAAAATTTTGCAACCACAGTTATTCGTAGTCTAAGCATACAACTTTGAAAAATGTGATCCCTTTGACAAAATAACAAGCCTTCCATTACCTGCTACAGGTGACCCAGTTTTCTAGCTGTCGTGGGTAGCTCAGAACAGCCCTCTAAGGCACCTTGGCCCTCTTCTATGCTTTAAAACTCAACACCAAACTGTATTTATTCTTGTAGTACTGCCTGTGTCTTAACATGCATCCCAACGCCTGGCACAGAGCCTGGCACTGGCAACCTCTTGGGAAATTTGTTAAATGAACTGATAGTGTAGCATTCTGTCACATTCCTCAGCGACAAAAGTCTCATTCTTTGAAAAATTTTCCTTTTGCAACTGAATTTAAAAATGAAATACCTACCACCTACCACTTAAAGTTTTGCTAGGTGATGGCTTACCAAAAATAAATAAAAATAAATAAAATAGAAAAAAAGGAAAAATACTCTTGTGTGATGATTGAGGAATAGTGAGCGGAAAACTGATTGGTTTCTACAAGGCATCATTGGTCTTGCCAATGGCCAGTAGGATGTGGTTGGTGTGGAGTGGAACAGAAGTCAAAAGCAAAGGCTATGGTGCCAAAATACTTGGGTTCAATTCCCAGCTCTGCCATTTACTCACTGGGTGCCTTCAGCAAGTTTTCTCTCCTCTCTGAACCTTGGTTTCCTTATACTAAAATGGGGAGAGTGTCTTAGAAAAGTTGTAGGAGGATTGAATACATGAGAGAATGAAAACCTGTAAAGTGCTTACCACAAGCATGATACTTAGTAAGTATTCAATAGATTTTAGTTATTGCTTTTCATCTCAAGTGCTACCTGGGACTTACCTCTCAAAAATTTTCAGAGCATTGAACACATCTAATATCTATCTCAGAGAAGGCATACAATACATATTTAATAAAAATCAAATTAAAAACACAGTAGGTAACCATGGATCATCTCTAAATAGAGATGATCATTGTATCAGACCTACATAGTATGTTACAGCTTGCGGTCCAGAGTCTGATGGCCTAAATCTTCCTCACAGTCCAACTTTCAGTTAACCTCACAGCACCTCAGTTTCCTTAATCGAAAAAGAATAATAATAATAGTATCTTCCCTATAGCGGCTTTAGAGAAGTGAGTGGGTTCTGCCTAATATCTGACACAACAAGTAGTCCATAAAGGTTGGCTCTTTTTAATCCATCCCACAGGAAGCTCTGATGTGCTATGCTGGGTAGAAAAGTATATTTTATAAAATTGTCCCTGTTTTGCTCTCTGAAACCCTGTTGAAACCTTTTGACATTCAGCTACATGTTAAGCACTAGGGCAGTCTTGGAGTTTTTCCGCCATCTGTGTAACTGAATCTTAACATGCTAAGTATATAACATATACACATCACCTCTCATGTAATAAAGCAAATTGTTCCACACAAAGGTAGCAGAGTTCTCATTTGCCAGCTCAGATCTAATTAGCTCTCTCAATACAATTTGCAAGTTGGATCCGGGCAAATCATTTGGGGAGCACTTGCTTTGGTGAGCTAAGAGGAACAGTAGGCCCATTCTGCAGTTTGCCAGAGATACTGCATACGGTAGCAAAATTGTATCTGTTTCTTCCCCTATGAAATCCTAAAAGCATCTCTTCCCAGATGGCTGCAGCTACGGGCATCTTCCTTCCTTCCACAGTTAGAAGAGGATTGTGGGGGTTTAGTGACAAACTTTTATGGAGACTGGGGAGGCGAAAGGAAGCCGGTGCAAAAGAACATCTTACATGAGGGGAGAGACAGTCAACAGGCAGAACCAAGCCCTCACTGAGGTTCCGGTGGCACAGACAGAAAAATTTAAGAGAGGCCAAATGAACATCATTTGTGGGCAAGAGGTAGATCTCTTGCAGGTAGATGACAATGGTGTGTGGAGGAACTTTATTCTAGAACAACTAAGCATAAAGAAATAGTGGGAAGCAGAATCCCAACTCAGGGGAAAAGGATGTAAGAACATTTATTACATTTGCCTACCCAGTGTTCATGCTGTCCCTGTTTTGATAGTGAAACTTCGGTGTCCCTTGGGGAATCTTCTAGGTTATGTGTTTAAGGTGTTGCAGAAACCGTTCCCTTGACTGGTGGGGGTGGGAGGGACAAATGACCCGGGTCCAGCCAGAGGGAATTTTTGGAGCTTTTGCTGAAATAATTTAGAAAGTCACTTTCATTCTCTGTGGAAGCTAAGCTGGCAGGATATGACCCCAGGGCTGCTGGGGACATCCCAAAAGGAATCTGCTTGAGAATGAAACCAATGCAGAGGAAGGAGTGAAGAGGTGAAAAGAGGCAGGTCGGTTGGATCAGTGTTCAGGAGTCTGCATCCAGCCAGCCATGCATCCCCTGGACTTTTCAGTCACAAGGCTGGTAAATTCCCTTTTTGCCAAACCCAGTTGAAGTTAGTTTCTGTCACTTGCAAGTGAAACATAATCTGACTCATCACTGAGGTAAAGGGGAAGACATACCTATTTATAGGATGTGACAATTTTTGCTCAACCAAGTCTTTAATGGGATCTCTGTCTTGGTCTACAGCGACCATATTTTCCCAACCATTTCCCTACAGAATCAGAATATCTGCTCGAACAGAATTTTACTAATAGAATGATGGAACAGAATGTTTGAAAATCAGAACTATTCTGAAAATCCGGGACATGTGAAGGAAACACACATCCTGAGAGTCATTATCACACAGTCTCATTACCCGAGTGAACTCCTGAGGCATGCATTTCAAACTCACATTTCTCCATTTAGTAATTGGGCTAAAAATATCTTGCTGATACTCTCTGGCTACAGAGTGAAACACACTGCTCAAGGAGCCCTTGCCCCACCTCTAAGCTAGCTAGCCAATGTTTGGACCCTGCAAAGAGTCCCAGGCATACAATTCAGCCCTCCTGCCATCTTGGCTATTTAGGAGTGACTCAGCTCAGTAACTTGGTTCCTCAGAATCTCAATAATCACTTGACCCTGTAGAGGTGACACGCTGTGCCTTGCTATGCCTTAGAAAGGTACTCGTAAACAGCACAAAGCCACATTTGTTCACTGCCATCCTGTGGTCTATATATTGTACATGACCACTTCAGAGATGATCCATCTTCATTTCTTATGGGTAGGCAGTTGGCAAGGGGAGCATAATACTTTAGCTTCTGGTATAACTGATGGAATCATTATTATTATTATTATTATTTTGGAGATGGAGCCTTGCTCAGTTGCCCAGGCTGGAGTAAAGTGGCATGATCTCGGCTCACTGCAACCTCTGCCTCCTGGGTTCAAGTGATTCTCCAGCCTGAGCCTCCCAAGAAGCTGGGATTACAGGTGCCCACCACCACACCTGGCTAATTTTTGTATTTTTAGTAGAGACAGGGTTTCACCATGTTGGCCAGGTTGTTCTTGAACTCCTGACCTCAGGCGATCAACTCGCCTCAGCCTCCCAAAGTGCTGAGATTACAGACATGAGCCACCATGCCTGGCCATTATCTTGCTTTTGTAATCAACAGGACAATTGCTGGATTAAGCACTTACTATGTACCAGGCACCATGCTAAACATTTTACATTTACCAGTTAAATATTCATAACACCCCATGACATAGAATCTACTGATGTCTCCAATTTACACCTGAGGAAACCAAGACTCAGAGTAGCTGAGCAAAATTTACACACTAACAAATATTGGAGCCAGAGCTATATTCTCGAGTCATCCCCTTTTCCTCCCATAGATCACGTTCTTAATGTTTCCTACTATATGTTCAGACTCTTAAAAGAAGTTTGCTATTTTTACTTTGGAACATATATTTTTCACATCAAAAAAAAAATTTCCCTGCTTTTCCTGAGCTGTAGAATTTTTATTTTTATAACGAGAACTTTTAATAAGAAATTTTGGAAGTAACTGATTAGGCCCAAGCATAGCAGGAGTACATAACATAATACTTACTTGGTGCCTTCCCTGTGCCTGGCACTGTGCTGGGCTTTGGGAATACAGCAGAAAACAAGGTGTCTGACCTCATAAGCAGCACAGATAGAGAAGCAATGACAAACACAGGCCAATTGTATTCTAGGGGAAACCGAGGATTAGAAAGTCAGATGCTTTCATTCTGGTATCTGCTTGCTGTAAAGCCACTTGGTGACAGACACTTGGCAGAATTGTTTGCCCTTTGGGACCTCCATTTTCTAATCAACCAGGGTAAGCTAGATGATCTCCAAACCGCCCTCCAGCAATGCAATTTGTTGAGTCACAGATTCTCTTCCTGGGTTCTTCAAGAGTAAGTTATGTAGGTCAATACATACTAGAGTATAGTTGTCAAACATAGTAAATATCAGAAAAACCTGGGAGCCTGTTAAAAACAAAAACCTCCAGACCCGTAACCAGAGAGCTGGATCCAGAAACTCTGGGATGGGGCCAAAAACCTGCATTTTTAGTAAGTCTTGCAAGAGATTCCGATGCACCAATTCTGGTTTGAAACCCTAGTATTCAAAGCAATGACAGCACAAGTGACTTTATCAGAAATGCAGAGCTGGGGTCCTGTCCCAGATCCACTGAATCAGAATCTGCATTTTACTTTCTTTCTGTATGGATGCTAAGCTGGTAGTGTATGTGCCCAGGGCTGCTGAGGACACTCTATGGGAACGATGCTCATG